AGCAGTGTAACTTTCTCAACCACTGAGGTTGACCACTGCCTAAGAATAATAAAAAAACACATTTCTTTCTTCCTAGTTTTTTTAAAAATTGGAATCGGTATGCAAGACGTTGCTTACCAGCACCCTCTGGTGGCCCTGTTATTAACTGGGCAATGTGCATTCTGCCAGAAAAATACAAATACAGGAACAGGTGATACCTTTAATCAACCATTAAGAATATATATAGAGTGAGCTTTCAATGATAATTCATCTTCGTCAAGGCAATCTAACTTTCTCCCCCCTCCTTTCAATGATAATTCATCTTCTTCAAGGCAATCTAACCTTCTTCCCCCTCCCCCCTTTTTGAAACTTAAAGAATTTCTTTTTTGGCTAGGAGAGGAAAGAATGCCCAGGAAAGAATGCCTCTAACAGCAAAGTGGTGAGATGCTCTCTCCTTGGTCCATGAACTGTCAATGCATCTGAAAAGAAGATGAAATTTAAGAAAAATGAAAAGTGGACGTTATGAAAAGCAGACTCTGCATACATATAAGGCAATCTAGACTTGCAGATCCAATGTACAGTGTTTTCCCATGGTTTACACTGTTGACATTTGTTTGCACTGTGCACATGATGCAAGAGCAGGAATATGCTTCAATGAATGTAATCCCAATTTGCTCAAATTCTCAGCAACAAGGATATGCAAGCAAGTCAAACGTCCTCTCCCAGCTTTCTCTCAAAGTATGTATTCCTTGGTTGTTGTGGGTTTTTCGGGCTCTTTGGCCGTGTTCTGAAGGTTGTTCTTCCTAACGTTTCGCCAGTCTCTGTGACCAGCATCTTCAGAGGACAGCACTCTGTGCTTTGGTGTAGTTTGTTTTCCTAGCCATTTATAATCAGGATAACAAACTACACCAGAGCACAGAGTGCTGTCCTCTGAAGATGCCGGCCACAGAGACTGGCGAAACGTTAGGAAGAACAACCTTCAGAACACGGCCAAAGAGCCCGAAAAACCCACAACAACCAAGGAATACATACTTTGAGAGAAAGCTGGGAGAGGACGTTTGACTTGCTTGCATTGCAGAAAAGTAGATGTATAAATTAAATAAATTAAAAATGTAAATATTTAGTAGTTTAAAACCTAAACTGAATGTAATTGTGGGGGAAAACATGCACACAGTGATGTGGGTTGGAGATGTACAGATTGATCCATCCCTATTACATGCAATAAGACTTCTGGATGTTTGTTTATCATTATGCTTCTGGCTTGCTTATTACACTGTCTTGCCTTTCCTTCTTTGAAAAGACCCAAAGCAAAAGGGCCACACTTCAGAGCAGAAGGTTATTGATTCTAAACCAGTTCAAAAAGATCTTGCCATGGCTTCAAGTAGAGGTAGTTACATCCTAGGCATTGTTCCTGAATGCTCTTAAACTGCTTGGGAAGTTGGAATTGTTGGAGTAGATAAGTTTATCAGTGAGTATTAGACAAACATTTTCTCTTCTGCTTTTGTCTTTTCTTCTCTGCTGTATCTTTCTGGAATTTTTCCAGCATTTCCTGGCAGGGCTGCTTTGCATTTAAAGCTGTATCACACAAGTAACTATTTAAACAGAGAGTACATTTTCAGATGCTGGAAGTGTCCGTAGATGGAGGATTACTGGAGATTGAGTCAATCTGAGCAAATAGGTTGTGATAAATATATATTTAGATTATAGCAAACAAGAGTTTACTTTTAGGGGATTGGAGATGGATTATATTATTAATTACAAATTCAGTCTGGTGCTTGCCAAAGTGTGCACTTTCAGAAAGAGAGGTAAGGAAATGACCTTGTCCACACAAAGTTGCAAAGGTACAATTAATTTTACCGTCTCACTCAAGCAAACATAAGAAAGCTCTTTTGGAGATTTTAACAGGCTTTGAAGACTTTCCAACATTATATCATGTTGGGGTGGGGAGTGCAGAAATAACCTCAGAGTTGGAAAATAAAGGTGATTTTTTATCTTTGTATATTTCATTTAGCTGTCTGAATAGCTCAGTAATCTGGGACTAATTCCCTACTTTGCATCCAAAGAAAAGAGCCAGCCTGGGGAGCCTTGGCCAAGTTGCACAGTCCCAGGATAGCCTCAGAAGAAAATGGTTGCCATTAATAAAATTAACTTGCTAGCATACTAATTACTATTATACTGTATTTATATGTGTGTGTGTGTGTATATAATGTATGTATATATACATATACTGTATATGTATATATACATACATACATATATATACATATATATGTATATATGTATATATGTGTACAGTATGTACACACACGTGTATACACACACATACATATATACATACATACGTGTGTGTGTGTGTGTGTAGAGACAAATGCAGTTTGTGCAATACAGGTTTTTCTGATGACAGACAATAGACTGGGAAGAAGAGACAGAAGAATTATCTTAAATAGTTTATAAACCTGTCTAATTGTATAAAATTAGGACCCTCATTGGAAGAATTGTTGGTCGCTGTTTATAGACTTTTTAAGAAAGATTGTGTAAATACATATTCTCATAATATAGAATTAGAATTTATAATCCCTGTTCTCTAGGGATTTGCATCACAACAGTTTTTAAACCAAAAGTGACATCATGGAGGTCTGTTTAAAAAGACGGAAAACAGTAATAACAACAGATCTGACAATCT